TGGTCTTGGGGGTCAACACTAAGCGCCCCAGTCCTGCTCAAGCCGAGTACCTCCCCCAGCCAGGCTCAGTGGGGGCTCCATCTATCTGCTCCCGACCCCCGTCCCGGTGTTCCTATGGGACCGCATCGTGAGTCCAGCAAACAGAGATTAAATCATTTAATCTGGGTAAGTTAATGTAAGTGCTCTAAAACAGTAATATTCTAGAACATACAGCAAAATATTTTCAGTTCATCTTTAAACATGCCCATTATGTTTACCCACAGAAATTATCTCTGTAAAACAAAAACAAAAACAAAAACAAAACTAAAAGAGTTCGTTTATACAGGATGTCAACTCCCCTGAAAAGTCTTTCCTATTATTTTTTTAATGTGTATTTATTTTTGAGAGAGAGAGAGAGAGACACAGCGAGTGAGCAGGGGAGGGGCAGAGAGAGAGGGAGACAGAATCCAAAGCAGGCTCCAGGCTCTGAGCTGTCAGCAACAGAGCCCGATGTGGGGCTCAAACTCACGAAGTGTGAGATCATGACCTGAGCTGAAGTCGACGCTCAACAGACCGAGCCACCCAGGCGTGCCCCGCCCCCCCCGGCCCCCGGAAAAGTCTTTATAATAAATTAGATCCCGTCCTAACAAATTCAAAATGACTGCCCTTAAAGAAAGTGTTCAGTGGAAACGCATGATACCGAACCCGTGCTGCTGACTTTTGTTTCTGGCTGTTAAGGCTCGCTGTGGGGTGGTGAAGGGGGAACTATGGATGGATGAAGAAAAGAAGAAAAAAATGTACACACCTGGTCTAATAATTAGGACAGTAACGTGTTCTGAAATAATTTCTCGGACGTATTCTATGCTCGGACAAAAACATACAAAGCCACACAATTCCATTCTGAGAACCAGAAGCAAATCATCTGTCACTATGTGGAGTCTAGCATTCTATAAGGGAAAACAATTTAAACGCCATCCTTAACCACAACTTTGGTAACGATTTCTACTGGGAGAGACTCTCCACTATCCCTTGGACGTCGTGTGTCTTCAGTGAGCTCAACGCGTGACCTTCACCAGCATCGCGCCTGGTGTGGAGGCTACTTCGCTCTGCTTCGCACTGAGCACGTTGGGCACACACTGACCACCGCAGGCTCTGGCGATGGGGGCTGAAGGATTTTAGGGAACGTGACGCCCAGGGAAGAGAATGTAAGTGACCAACAGAACGCTCCCTTGCACGCACAAATTAGTAAGTTTGGGAACCATCTGTGACTTCGGTAACACGTGAGCAAACAGGATACTGGAGCGCTAAAAATGGGTCTGGTCCAGACCAAGAACCTCCTGCCTGCTCCATAACACCCAAGGATAGCTACCCCTCTTTCTTAAAGCCTTTGAAATGAATAAACATCTTGAATATGACTTTGTGTGGAGGAAAAAAACGGCTCGGAAATCAGCAAGACTGCGCTTTTTAATGAGCTCGTGTTCCCCACGGTTGAGAAACACCACTTGCGTGTCCTGGAAATGAGTTTGGTGGGAGAAGAGTCACGTGATAACAATTCCACTTTCATTATGGCAACAAAAGCGAACTTCACATTAGAGACAGAACCGTCACAAGTCGCCAAGAATCAAGGCCGGGACACGTCCGCCACGCTGACAACGGGCACACCCCCAGCGTACAGAGGAAACGCCGGCACGCCCCAAGAGGTGACAGAGGTGACGGGGACTTCCGGGGTCCCCGCTGGATGCTGGTTAGAGCCACGGCAGGAGCCACGGCAGTGGGGGCTCCAGGGCCTTCATCTGGGAGGCTGGTCTGACTGCCTTTAAGAGCTTGTGGTGAAGCAGTGACAACGGAGCTCATCTGCCGGGGACCCTGGTCCCCGCTGCACATGGCACCTAGGGCACAGCGGTTTCTCAATCCCAGAGGGAACGCGAGCGGGAAAGCGGATCTACCCGGGCACCCGTGAGCACGGCACTAACACCGGGAGGTAGGAAGGCGGCGGACGAACACAGCCCAGCCCGCGTCCCTGTCTCTGCAGAGGGGACATACATAAACCGCTTAGCCCAGGTATCGCCCGAAGGACAAGGGATTCCACGTGGGACCTGTCTTCATTCAATTATCATAAACGACTGAAAAACTCTAATTCCCTGTGGCAGAGCCATGGTTTACACGGGGTGTAACCTGTCAGTGGAGTGAGGCCAACAACATTTCTATGATGAAACCAGAATGCTTTACTTTAACCACAAGCCTAGAAACAAAACCAAAGATGACAAGCCAGAAAACCTCCAAAACCTCCTCTCCATACTAAATGTAATGAACTATGGCACGTGGCTTCCCTTTAACCAAAAAAAAAATTTTATTTTTTTTAGAGACAGAGTGCAAGTGGGGGAGGGGGGCAGAAGGAGAGAGAGGGAGAGAAAGAGAGACGGAATCTCAAGCAGGCTCTATGCTCAGTGAGGAGCCCGACATGGGGTCAATCCCATGATCCCCTTGGGATCATGACCTGAGCTGCAATCAAGAGTCGGATGCTGACCCAGGCACCCCTAACCAAAATTATTAAAAGCAGGCAAAAGCTTTGATTTCATTTCAAGAAGGTATTTCCTCCCTAGTGAATATCTCCTTTTATGATACAGGTTTTGTTCAGAGACCAGATATGAAATGTGTCAATTACAGTGAATACAGTATTATATAATTTATAATATATAATTATATAATTTATAATACTGTATTATATAATTTATAAAAATGTCTTCAAGATTACATCATAAGGTTTCACGTTTGGGGCAATCAACAAACATTTACCAAACTGGCACAAAAAAACTTGGCATATTTGGGCAGTGGCTGCTTTTTATTTTTGAAGCAGGACGGGTGAAAAAGAAAACCACAGGGAAAATAAGTACATTCTTTAAATTCACAGTCCACGATCAGCATTTACAATTTTAGCTCAAAGTTTAAGAGAAGGATAGCTCAAAATGCTGCCTAGTCACTGCTTTATCCCAATGGCATGTGAAATAATGATGTGGAAGGGAAGGGACTAGTGTCCAATCTGAGACAAAACACTGCTCAAAAGCAAATGGGCTTTTTAAAAAACAGAAAAAACAGCAATAGGCAGAGATAGGACTTTTTATGGAAATCAGGAACCAGGATTTATAAGCAAGAAAAAAATAGTTACTGATAATGTCGACATCTTACACAATCGGTCTTCTCCCTAAATTCAAAAGGATGCTCCCTGCATGCACTAATCATTAATTAATAAAAAAATAATTAATCAAAACGCCTTGGGTCACCTTTGTTCCTATTAAACCTATTCGTGCATTTCTATGGGACCCCAGAAAGGCAACTAAATTATTACCAAATAATTTTATCAGGTAAAGACATCTTGTTTTTAATCAAGGAAGCCTTCTCTAAAAAATTCATAAACTCGTTTCAACAAATCAAATTCTGTGATGAACAAATTCTCTTGATATATTGCTTCCTTTACTGGGAAGAGTTATAAAATGATACAGGATAACAGCATAAAATGAAGTCTGCATAACGTAGAACAGGACAGTATTCACGTCCAAAGTAAGTATTTGAGATTTTTTTTAACCTGCCAACGTTAAGGGCAGTAACACATGAAAACATGCTCAACATCCTGAGACATCAGGGAAATGCAAAGTGAAACCGCAGTGAATCAGCACCGTATACCTGTCAGAATGGTTAAAATGAATAAATCTGACCACTGCTGTGGGCAAGTGAAACAGCACAACCACTCTGGACAGCAGTCGGCAGTTCCACTCTTAGGTATTTGCCCCCAGAGAAGCAAAAACGCAGGTCCTGTTAACATCACCCCGAAAGCCTACTGATTTAACATTCCAGAAGTTTCTACCAAGGGCTATTTTTGTAAAACTGCCATTGCTCCTAATTTAGAATTGTGTTTAAAAGGAAGAGAACACCCTTCCACTAATCACCCTACTGTGCCAAAAGAAAGCCTTAATCAAGCAACCTCGTAATTATGAGGTTGCTGAAGCAGTCATCAGGATTTTCTGTGAAGTCAGTAAATGTGAAGAGATCCACAGTAGCGTTATAAACAGCTACTCACCGAGTACTACTCATGAGAGTAGTAAACAGCTACTCACCGAGTGCCGCATGTGGCCTGAGTCCCTCCAGGATGGCTGTACTCAGTTCCGACATCATGTTACGTACGGGTGAATACGCGTGGCCAATAAACCCAAGAACCACAGCAGATCTTTTACTTTTGTAAACCACATTTTGTGGCTACCTTTTCAGTTTTCCCAAAGGCTGATATATTTCAATCATCTGAACGCACTGCTGTTAATTCTGCGTCAGCAAAAGTCACCTAACCAGCAACCATTACATTTTGGTACTAAGGACTATCCCTTTCGGAAGAGTTATTGAAACACAGAAACAAAACGTCCGCACAAAGACTCACGCACGAAAGCTTACGGCACCTCGTCATATCCCAACACTGGGAGCAATTCCGTGTCCTTCCACAAATGAACAGATAAACGGACTGTCGCCTGCCCCCGGGACAGCGTACTGCACAGCAATAAGGAGGAAAGAACGGTCACAAATCTAATGAGCTGCATGAAATCTCAAAATCATTACCCAAAATGAAGAGGCAAAAAGTACAGTCTACAACTCTGTTTATATGGTTCCAGACCACGCAGCTGACGTACAGAGACAGAGAGGGCACAGAGACTGCCCAGAGACAGGGTGCAAGGCGGGTGGAGTGAAAGGGGCACAAGAAATCTCTGGGGGGGGGGCGGGGGGGGGGGGGGGGGGGGGGACATGTGTCCTGGCGATAGTGGTGATGGTTTCGCGGGCACGTACGTCTACAAAGCTGAGCACACTTGGTGCTTTAAATACGTGTTGAGCACACTTGGTGCTTTAAATACGTGTACCTCGGCAAAGCAGCAGGCTGGGGGAGAGTTATGCCACCCTGAATCTATCTGTTGTTCTCCTAGGAAGCCTAGAGGGAAAGAAATTCAAGCGGTGGTGATAAGAAGGCACCTGGAGCTGAAGACATGAGCCAGCTGCGGGCCACGAAGCCCGGACTCCTCGTGTGCACAGCCGTGTGCGTGTGCGTTTTTCTTTATTTAAGGGATCCACCTCCGGAGGAACCAGAGGAGTCCACCTATCCAGCAGCGGTGGAATGTGGCTTTTATCCAGATGAACTGTGTTCAGCTTTATTTGAAGGGAAAGAGGCCGCCCCCCAAATTGCAACTTTTTGTAAAAACCCTCATGGTTCTCAAATACTTGCTCACTTGCGCACACCAGGAAACTGCTCCAGGATTTCCCAGGAGGTGCATCTCATAACCAGACCCTTGTCTGCAGAAGAGGGCAATTTCTCTTTGGCATATATCGTAACTACTCACAAGGACCTGGCTATGTTTGTGCAGCTGCTCAGGTCTATTTATGTGCCTCAAAACCTTTACTGTATTCATGTTGACAAAAAGGCCCCAAAGAAGTATAAGAGTGCTGTGCAAACCCTGGTGAACTGTTTTGAAAATATTTTTATTTCATCAAAGAGAGGAAGAGTGGCCCACACTGGCTTTACAAGACTGCAGGCAGATCTTACTTGTATGAGAGATCTGGTCCGTTCCAAATTTCAGTGGAACTATGTCCTTAACCTTTGTGGACACGACTTTCCAATCAAAACCAACAAAGAAATCATAAGCTACATCAGGAGCAAATGGACTGATAAAAACATCACTCCTGGAGTAATCCAACCACCACACGTTGCATCCGAGACAAGTGGAAGTCGTCTTGAATTCACCCCTGAAGGAAGTATCTATGGATCTCCAAACAGGAGATTCAAAGATGAACCACCCCATAACTTAACAATTTATTTTGGAAGCGCTTACTACGTACTAACAAGGAAGTTTGTAGAATTTGTACTGACGGACATCCGCGCAAAAGACCTGCTCCAGTGGTCCAGAAACATCCAGAGCCCAGAACAGCATTACTGGGTGACTCTGAACCGACTGAAAGGTAAGAACATCCAGCGATACAGCGTCTGTTCAGATCAGAGGCAACAACAGATGCTTATTCGTAAGTGGAAATTGTATTTCACGATTTACCATGGCTTGGTGAAGAGCTCTACGTTTTGCAAGACCTCTTCCACTTTGGGGAGTACGGGAGGGTCTTTAGGGGTCTCAGGTTTGCTGAGAGAGGGCCACGCGCCCAACCAGCCCGGCTGCTTTTGTTCCCTCTCCAGAAAGAAGTATGACCAATATCTGAGCACAAATCTTCAGAAACTCCTTCATTTCTTCATTCACTTATTAAATACTGCTGGGTACCTACGAGGGCCAGACATTGTGCTAGGGGCCCTTTTAAGAATGGAAAACATTAGGGGTGCCTGGGTGGCTCAGTAGGTTGAGCACCCGACTTCAGGTCATGATCTCATGCATGGTTCGTGAGTTCGAGTCCCACGTCGGACCCTCTGCTGTTAGCACAGAGCCCGCTTCGGATCCTCTGTCCCCCTCTCTCTGCCCCTCCCCCACCTGTGCTCTCTCAAAAATAAACATTAAAAAAGAAGAATGGAAAACATTAAAAGTAGTAATTTTGGGGGTAGCAAACATGATACCTCAGGTAGGTTTTCTGAGAGAGGGAAGTCTGATGTCCTCCCTTAAGTGGACTTACTTTCTCTTTGTATAAAGTTGATGTGGCTTCAAGTCTGAATGGTTATAATCGGTCCAGATGACCGTGCAAACACTGAATCCAGCAGAAATCGATTAGGATCTTAGTTTAATCGCTCCTATCCACTGAAAATCCTATTTTCACATCCCCTCAGAGGGCTGTTATGGAGAAACCCAACATCATCATGCCAAGGGCGCACTAGGTGCGCTCAGGAAGTTACCAGGGATGGAGACAGGGATGGAAACGAAAGCCGGAACGCAAGACCTTGGCCACGGCCGCCGCCCGCCCCCAAAGCGTAGCCTTTCAGCAGATGACAAGCAAGCACTTGAAGCAGGGCTGGACTTCCCTCCACCTTTCTCCCACTACCACATCTGGGGTGGGGGGAGCACAGCCAGGAAGAGCTGGCACCCTAGGGCCGAGCAGCTGCCTGCCCGCTGTAATGCCCGTTCTGTTTCCCCCTTAGATGCCCCGGGAGCCACACCTGACGCTGGCTGGGAAGGAGACATTCGAGCCATTAAATGGAGGAACGAGGAGGGAAGTGTCCACGATGGATGTAAAGGTAAAACTCGAACCAAAGCAAAAGCAAAAGCCTTCCAATTTTATGAAAACTATACAACTGCTGCCTCGATAACATCGGGAGACGATCGTTAGCAGAAGTAGTGAAGGGATTCGTGAGTTTGCAATTACATGGGGCAATTTTTTTTTAAAACTTCTTATTTATAATATCTAGACAGAAAAGCTCACAAATCGTTAAGTACTTGGGTTGATAAATTTTCACAAAGTGAACACACAACTCGGCTGCAACTTTACAAGTTTTAAGATAAAAATACACGAGCTGGCAGGTTTCTTCCACCTGCCCCTAGAATTCAAACTTAAACATTTATTTTATTTATTTTTTTTTAATTTTTTTTTCAACGTTTTTATTTATTTTTGGGACAGAGAGAGACAGAGCATGAACGGGGGAGGGGCAGAGAGAGAGGGAGACACAGAATCGGAAACAGGTTCCAGGCTCCGAGCCATCAGCCCAGAGCCTGACGCGGGGCTCGAACTCACGGACCGCGAGATCATGACCTGGCTGAAGTCGGACGCTTAAACGACTGCGCCACCCAGGCGCCCCTAAACATTTATTTTAAAAAGCTCTGTGTCTCCCTGGACCTCTACCAGAGCAGACAAGTGAGAAATGCAGGCGATCGATCGATTGTTCCAGAGCTCAGAGGTTGGCAGCAAACTCTTGCTGAGGGGAAGGTCTTTCTGCTTTGCCCTCAGGAGACTCTCCCTGGGAGCTGTCAATTCTTCTGCCCCTTTGTCTGGTGTCCCGGTGGTTTTAGTTACCAGGACAATACAGAACAGACTTGGGGTGGGGACGTCAGCGTCCCTCTTTGGTGAAAAGGTTGGAAAAGCAGCAGCTGACTGCAGACTCAGGCACAGCCACTGGGAGAAAATGCCTAGGGAGTGGGAGACCCAGAACCGGCCTCTGGTCCTGCCATTCACGCCTACTCTCCCCACCGCTCTCCCCCCCCCACCCGCGGCCCAGGGTGAGATGGCTGAGAGGAGCAGAGGTGACGGGACAACAGTCACAGCACCATGTGGACAAGTCCGGTAGGGAGAGGTGTGAATGCTCTGGGAGCCCATGAGGAAAGAAAAACAAGGCGTCTGATCTTTACGGGGCCGCAAACTGTGCTGGACAGAGAAGGCAGGAAGAGCGGGGCAGACGTGTGTGCAGGTGGCTGGGGCACAGCATCCTCTCTCCCAGGCACGTGGCCTGGCCTTTCTGTCTACACACAGCTTCCCAACCACCACAGAAAATACCGCACAGACGCAACCACTGATTTTAATAGCGCGTCTAGGCGTGGCCCCTCGGGCTTGAGTCACAGTAGGTCAGAAATACAAAATCAACCAGGTTCACCCAGTTTCCCAGCTGTTTAAAGGACTGATCTCAAAGAAACAGGTTGTAGACAAATTAAAAAATGTAAAACCCAATACCAGAGAATAACTCAAAGACCAGCAACTCCCGGGGCCATGTACACAGCCACTCTCCTCACAGGTACCAGGTCGGAAGGGCTGGAATAATTTTCTAGTGTTTTCAACAAATAGTTTAGCCATGATTCAATTAGGGGGCTCTTCACACAATAAGAAGGTGACAGTTACACAGGCTAAGAAGCAACCCTGGCCTTTCTTTAGAAAGCAGGGCTCACTGCCATTACACACTGGGGTTGACAAGACCGGTGAATAAATGCTCACGAAAGGCCGGGGTCGGGGCTCAGGTGCTTCCTGAAAACATGATTCACTCACAGAGTAAGAAGTCATGAAGGGTGGCTGCTATCAATAATACAGTTATGATTTAGAATTCTTACAACGACAACCTGAATATTTCAATATTCTGTAAATCTTAACAAAAATCACTGTTGCCCCAAAGCGAACACTTCAGCAAGTTCTTGCCGCTGCTCACTTCAGACTGCAAACTATCCACTAGGAAAGCAGCGAGACAAGTGGCTGCCAAGAGTCAGCCCCCGCCTTAGGCTGAGCCCCGGCAGTGACCGGGGTAGAATCTTCCGGAGCCCTGTGCTGGGCCCGCAGTCAATCCTCACAATGACTCTCAGGTACTCACTATTGTATTCACACCTCACAGATGAGGAGCCCCAGGCTCAGAGAAGTTGAGGTCACCCCCAGTGTCACAGGAAGCAGCACAGGAAGTGGCAGAGCTGGGTCTCTAAGCAGGTGCAGCTGTCTGCTGCCCCTCCAGTGGACGAGCATGCACAGAGTGACGGTCGTCCTGCTGTCACCAGCAACAAAGAGTTTTGTTTACTTGTAATCACCCAAACGGCATGAACCCAACTCTGAGGACTTTCCACAGTCCTGTGCCCCCTTCCTGGCTCACATTCACGTGTATATACAGTAGAGACCATCCAGCTACCACCGAGGTGCAGCTGAATCTTTTTTCACTACGTCCTACGCTGTTCACGCAGCTTGTCTCCACAGTCGTACTTTTCACCTGGTTCAGTGTAATTCTATTGAGAGTCTGTGACACTGTGCCAAGAACGTCTACCAGTGAGAAAGATGTCAGTCGTGACAAGAGCCGCCGCTTACAGAGTGCTTACTCTGCTTGGCCCTTTACTAGATGAATGCGTGCTCACTGGGGGAAGGTTCTTTCCACCTTGTTCCAGTCTTACAAACAGCACTGGACGGTTCTACACATGCAGTTCCGCCCCTTTTCTGTATTTCCCTCAGATGGGCTTTCAGAAGTAGGATCGATGGGCTGGCATGAGAGAAAAGCAGGGCGGAGCTGAGCAGAGAGCAAGGTCTCCAAAGTGGATCAACCTCTGCCTCACACGCAGACCGAGCGCTCACTCCTCTGCGAACCGAACCGGAGGTGGTAATGAAGCACCTTGCAGCACTGGCCGGGGGGTTAACAGAGAAAGAAGGAAGAGCTGAGTGCAGCGTCAGGCACCTAACGTGTGCTGCTGAGTTCGTCGCGAAGGAACCCAGCACTGGAGTCGACCCATGATTCCAATTTTAATGACTTCTATCTGTATCAAACGCTCACTCTGCACGGGCAAGAGAGGGCCGAAGCAACGCCACATTAACACCGACGCAATTCCTGCAAACTCCCCACAACCAAGGAAAACAAACGTTCGTGGGGCCCAGTTCAGAATTTAGACTTGGCCCGGCAAATGCATGCTAAGACGTCTCCCCTGTGCTCGTGACTAACGAACATTCCACAGTGTCCCCTTAAACAAAGTAGCCATTAAACAGAAAGAATGAAAGCGTCCCTGCCGCCATAGATTCAAAACCCAACCCAGAAGCCCCAATCAGAGCAATCGCGGAGATCATGTTTAGTCTGATCTCCCGTGAAGCAGGGGCCTTCCCGATGACCTTGGAAGAGCATCACTTTTTCGTGCGAACGTAAACTGACGAGACAAAGGCACTAGGTTTTTGTGCTTCTTTCTACAGGGCGCTACGTCCACGAGAGCTGCGTGTATGGACCAGGAGACCTGCCGTGGATCATTCGGTCGCCTTCTCTGTTTGCCAGCAAAGTGGACTCGACAGACCCCCTGGTGGTCACGTGCCTGGAGAGGCGGCACAGGCTCCAGGCGCTGCGGCAGGCAGAGGTCCCTGCGGAGCCACACTGGCGCTTTCAACAGGAGAGTCATTTTAACACGACACGGAGCCGCTGAGCTGGACATCTGGAAGCGTCTGTGCTCTTACTGGTATCGCCGTGTCCCTGACTTGTGATAAGAGAACATTAACCAAAGAAGAAAGAATGAGAACTGATTCCTTGGTACAAGCTAGCCCTAAAGTGAACTCAGAGATACGCTATTGACAAGACTTTCCTATAAATCACAGGCCGCTCTTACGGCTTCGAGGAAGAAATCACGAGAGGAAAGGTATTGCTCAAGGTACCGTTGGGGGCTCCTGGATCAGCCAAGTGAGGTCGGACTGCCTCAGTAAATAGCTGCTGCAAATCGAAGCCTCAAGTTAGAATAAAAACAGATCTTGCTTTGAAGATACTACCGTGTATGAGATTCTAATCAAGAGCAAACTCTCACTGAAAACAAAACTCTGCTGATCTAAAACAGTGCTCTTTGGCTGGGAACCATGTAACTTTGTTCTGGTAATCCTAGAAAAATACAGAAGAGTCCACTTCTTTTGGGTAAAACAAAACTAATCCAGAGCTGAAGCACACTTTCTTAAAAAGGATGCTATAAGCTTCTGGAGTCAAGAGGCATTAATCGTACCTTCTACCCTGGTGGGTACGTACTACGTCTGGTCTGACACCAACCACAACCACAGGGGGCTTTGGGGCATTTGAAATGTGGAGAGTATGCCTGATTAAGTGACTTTTTGTCTTTATTTAACTTAAAAAATTTTAATAAACTGAAATTTTAATAGTCACATGTGGCTGGTGGTTTCCACATTGAACAACATAGGTCAAAGGTGGGAATGATCTTAATTCTCCCTACTCAACAGACTCGGGTCTCTAAAGAGTCCATAACTTTTTCATTGTCCTGTTGAGGATTTTCTGTATATTCTCTTTCTCTAAAAGAGTTCATGGCATTGTACAAGACTGAAAACGTACAACCATTAAGTGGCACCACATAAAACAACTAAAATAAAGAAGACACTAAAGAAATAAATGTATAATTCAAAGGCAAAGTCTAAAGCCTCGGGAAACTGAAGCTTTGCAATGAAACGAAATCAAATCTACTTAGTCAATGAAAATAGCCCTTGGAAAGCACGAAGCTAGATAGAAGGAAAAGAGCCTTCGAAAGCACAAATCAAATGTAACTCACCATAGAACATTAACATCACCATTTCAACAAACATTTCTTCCACCTCGATGCCTAATTCCAAGGAAAGCACATGCTGAAAATGTTAAGACTGTCAAAGACAAGGCCACCAAGAGCCCCACGACAGCACAGTTCTGCTTTTCTACACGTTTTTTCTACACAGGGCTCACGGGTGGTACCAACCAGCTACGTTCTGACTGCCTGTTCAGAAAGCTCAAATTCACCACGACTGTGTCCCTGTATTTTAGAACAACTCACTAACAAGTTAAGTGCAAAACCCATTTTTAGGGGCGCCTGGGTGGCTCAGTCGGTTGAGCGTCTGACTTTGGCTCGGGTCATGATCTCACGGCTGGTGAGATCAAGCCCCACGTTGGGCTCTGTGCTGACAGCTGGGAGCCTGAAGCCTGCTTCGGATTCTGTGTCTCCCTGTCTCTCTGCCCCTCCCCCGCTCATGCTTGGTCCCTCTCTCTCTCTCTCTCAAAAATAAACATTCAAAAAAAAATTTTTTTTAAAAACCACCCATTTTTAAAAAAGCTGGTATCTTTCCAAGTCACTTGAAACATGAGCCTAACTTCATTTCCCTTCAATGTCCATTCACAGCATGGTCACATGACTATGAGTGGGTCCAATACAGGCGTCTACTTAAGAGATTTGCTATGAGGAGGAAGCACTTAGAATTCTAATGTCTGACATGTCTCACAGATGAGGAAACTGAGGCACGGGGCAACGATGGGACTTTCCAGGAGCACACGGCTAAGCAAGGGCAGCTGGGACTTGGACCCAAGCAGGCAGTCTGGCCCCACAGTCCAAGCCCTTACTGCACCACCTCACCTCGTACAAAGACACAACGGACTCAAACACAGAGCCGCCCTCAAAGGATCAGACGTAACAGAAGCCGCTACCTCAACAACTTACTCAAGTAACAGATAAAGTAATAATAATACAAGTAACTCAAAGGCACGGGGGAACGCAGCAGCGGGAGGTTCAGGGAGGGACAGGCTGGGTCGTAGTGGCGTGCTAGAGGAAGCGCTGGGAGCGAGTGGAGGCTGACAGGCAGGCAGCCACCAAGGCTGGGCCAGGCTGGCCAGGCCAACATGAAGCAGCAGCCTCCGCTAGCGTTAGAACCAACCGGAAACTGCTGTTCACTTGGAGTCAGCCTCTTACTGCATTCGTTTGTTAAGAACACAATCCAATCACAAGCAAAAAATGTCTGAATTATGCTGCTACAGACTGTGTCTTAAAGGTGATGCATTAATAGGGATCTTGAGATCATTTCTCTTTCCAGGAGTAGAATCTTCTTGCTAATATGTAGATTCTACCGTTCAATTTTCTATTAGATTTTTCTTATACGTGAAAAAGTTCAAGGCGGCCTGTGATATCCATCATGCAGTTCCCTGAGGCTTAATACTTTTTAAAAAAAAATTTTTTTTTAACGTTTATTTATTTTTGAGACAGAGAGAGACAGAGCATGAACGGGGGAGGGGCAGAGAGAGGGAGACACAGAATCTGAAACAGGCTCCAGGCTCTGAGCCGTCAGCACAGAGCCCGACGCGGGGCTCGAACTCACGGACCGTGAGATCGTGACCTGAGCCGAAGTCGGCCGCTTAACCGACTGAGCCACCCAGGCGCCCCAATACTTCTGAAGACCATGAAGATGGCAGAGAGCTCACCCTAAGGAGGCCAGTGCCTGAAAAAAAAAAATCAACATCTGCAGACCACTTCTGAAGATACCCCTTCCCTAACATTTTCTCCCCTCTCCGTCTCACCTCTCCATGGAAGGACAGCAAAAGGGCACCTGGCTGGCTCAGTCGGTGGAATACGCGACTCTTGATCCCAGGGTCTTGAGTCCAAGCCCCGTGTCAAGCGTAGAGCTTACTTAAAAATAATAATTAAAAAAAAAAAAAAGAACCAGCGTAAGTTTTTCTTCCACTTCTGCTTCACAATATGCACAGCATCCCACTCACCTACCACAAAGGCTAAATAAATGAAGCCAGAAAATGGCAAGTCAAATGCTCCTCATCATACCTCCGACATCTGAAGTGGGGATTCTCAAACTTCACTGTGCACGCAAATCCCCAGGGCGTCTAGGGGAAAGGCAGATTTTGATTCCACAGGTCTGGGCCTGCGTCGCTTAAAAAGAGAAAAACAAAAACCTCCCAGGTGATGCCAATATGGCAGGACCACGGATCGTGCTCTGAGTAACGAGCACAGAGTGTATTTTACAAACTGTAATTACTCCAATGTGTTTCTCCTTATTACAAGAAGGGAAGAACACAGTGGGGAATACAATTAGGTTTCTAGCTAGTGACTTGTTTACAGTGAAAACAAACAAAACAACCTAGCAACTACCCCTCTTCGGACCCTGCTGGCAAATCGAGTGTGCACTCTGTGTGTTTCAGAGCACAGAAGCAGAGCTGTCTCAAACCCTCGGGTCTCCTCTAGCAGATCGAAAAACCAACTGTGGGGGCACCTGGGTGGCGCAGTCGGTTGAGCGTCCGACTTCAGCCAGGTCATGATCTCGCGGTCTGTGAGTTTGAGCCCCGTGTCAGGCTCTGGGCTGATGGCTCAGAGCCTGGAGCCTGTTTCCGATTCTGTGTCTCCCTCTCTCTCTGCCCCTCCCCCGTTCATGCTCTGTCTCTCTCTGTCCCAAAAATAAAATAAAAACGTTCAAGAAAAGAAAATTAAAAAAAAAAAAAAAAAAAAAAAAAAGAAAAACCAACTGTGAGTGAAACTACCGAGTGAAGAGTAGAGAAAAAGTCAACCCTGAAGATCCCGAGGGTCTCCCTGCCATCGTTCTTATGACACCGGTTTCTCTAAATTTCAGACGTTATTTTAAAAAAGGAAAATATCTGTTTCAGCCTCGGACTTTATCTCCCTTTGCTGGCGTTTCCACGACGTGCTGTGGCTGAAACGCCTCCATGATCCTTCCTCTTGGCACTCGGGCAGAAAGTGCTGGTGTTCCCTTGTCCCCGGGCATCCAGCTGGGCCACCTTCCCCGGGCTTCCCTGCCGTTGTCAGGTGTGGTCACAGGCAGCGGAAGTGATGAGCGCCACTTCCGGGCCTGGGCCGAGAAAACCTCCTACGCTGGGTGCTCCCTCCGATGCTCCCGTCAATGGGACGCAGCACATTCCCAAACCTAGACGAGGTCTGAGCCGTAAGACAGCAGGAGCCTGAACCTTGACTCTGCCCTGGATAAGAGCTGCCGAACCAGGAACTTTTGCTGTATTAGCCACTGGAACTTGAGGGCTGTCCGTCTTAGCGGTCAGCCAGCCTTGATGGACATACTTAGTATCACTGAACTTCGGAGACTTTAAATTACAAGTATGAGCTTGATTCCTGGAAACAGTACACAAATGTGTCATTCAATTTAATATTTTATTTTTAATTTTTTTTTTAATGTTTGATTTTGAGAGAAAGAGAGAGATGAGTGGGGGAGGGGCAGAGAGAGAGAGAGGGAGACAGAATCTGAAACAGGCTCCAGGCTCTGAGCTGAGCGGTCAGCACAGAGCCTGACGCAGGGCTCCAACCCACAAACCGTGAGATCATGACCTGAGCCGAAGTCGGACGCTTAACCGACTGAACCACCCCGGCGCCCCTCAATTTTTTAAAATGTTGTTGTTTGAAATCTCCATCTAAGAGGAGAGCATCTATGAACTCACTATAATCCTTCCTCTCACGTGTCAGAACCCGAAGCCCAGAGTATTCCTGAGCCAGCAGTGGTGTGTGACCTAAAGCTGATGGGCACCGGGCTCTCGCTGTTCGCCATGTGGGTGAACAGCTCCCACTCACGTGTGCCCCCGAATGTCCACGCTCTTTGCTTTTCTAAATGGCAAATACCATATAGTGGTATATGCTGAATGTGTCCCCCACAAAGAGTTGAAGTCCTTGCCCTCTGTACATCAGAATATGACCTCCTTTGGAAATCAGGTCACTGTGGATATAATTAGTTAACATGCAGTCACTAGGGTGGGCCCTAAGCCAGTATGACTGGCGTCCTGATAAAAAGGAGACATCTGGACACAGAGAGGACTCCGTGGAGACCGCACCGTATGAAGACTCACAGGAAGTAGGTGGCCATCTCACAGTCCTTAGAAGAAAGCAGCCCTGCCCATACTGTGATTTTGGACTTTGGGGCCTCAAGAACAGTACATTTCTGTTGAGTTGCCCAGTGTGTGGTGCCTTGTTAAGGGAGCCCTAGGGAACTGATAACATCGAGTATTCAACCTAGCTATGCAGGGGCAGTTTTTACATGAGTCCTAGAAGCTTAAAAGTGCTCACTATCTTGCTTTTCTGGCAACAGATTACTTTTTAAGAAAATTCTCGGGGCCCCTGGGTGGCTCAGTCGGTTAAGCGTCCGACTTCAGCTCAGGTCATGATCTCACAGTCTGTGGGTTCCAGCCCCGCATCGGGCTCCGTGCTGACCGCTCAGAGCCTGGAGCCTGCTTCTGATGCTGTGTCTTTCTCTCTCTCTGCCCCTCCCCTGCTCATGCTCTTGCTCTGTCTCTGTCCCTCTCTCTGTGTGTCAAAATAAATAAAGATTAAAAAAAATTAGAGGAAAAAAAGAAAATTCTCTCCCTGAGGTATTCCCGAGTGATAGCCAGTGTCCTGCCTTGGCTGCTGGCGGTTCGGACAGCGGTGGGGGCCGCCCTTACGAGACAGGAAGAGCCAGCACTCCTGGTTCTGACCTGCCCTCTGCTCCCCTCGTCAGCCCTGCTGCCTCAGTTCCCCTTTCCTCCTGCTTCCTTCCTTTCCCTTGAAGTGCTCAAGGTACTGACGTTTACAAGTTCACTAGCATCCAGGGGCACCCGGGTGGCTCAGTCGGTTAAGCATCTGGCTCTTGATTTCGGCTGAACTCATGATCTCCTGGTTTGTGAGTCTGAGCTCGTGCTGGGCTCTGTGCTGACAGCAGGGAGCCTGCTAGGGATTCTGTCTCTCCCTCTCCCTCCCTGCCCCTCCCCAGCTTGTGTTTTCTCTCTCAAAAGAAATGAACTTAAAACAAAATTAGAAGTTCACTCGTATCCAGTCACTCTCCAAGCACCAAAACAAGGTCTCAGGTTCCCTTGCAACGTTCTAGTTCCTTGACGTAAAACCAGCTTCTCTGTAACGCTCTGTGCAGGCAGCCCTCTTGTGCTACAAATGTGTCAACGTGGTCACCGACGTGGACTGCGAGGGGGCCTATGCAAAGGACAGCTTCACGCCATCCCAGGGATGGTTCCCATTCCGGGCAGAAGAAGACAAAGGCTGGCTGCTGTGGACCACTTAGTCCCCCAAACCCGGTCGCCCACTGGAATCATTCTGGAAAGTCCTGAATAAGAGCAGAAACCCATGGGGCGCTACTCCAACCGTGAAGATTCTGACTCAGTGGGCCTGACGTGGGCCACGGGAGCTTACACCACCACGGTGACTCTACCACGCGGCCTGGTCTGGGAAGCACGGATTTAGGGAGTTTGGCTCCTGTAATAAATTTCAGCTTCGTTTCCCACCTTCTCATAGTTCTATGCTTTTCAGCAGACTTCCTGAGTATTCTCGCGAACGCTCGAACACACAAAAAACACCTTCCACACTCTGGGGGAAAACACACATACACCTGAACAGAAAGTCTACGTAGTTCCCCTCCTGCCCGAAGGGGGCCCAGGCCAGTGGAGTGCTGGGTCCCGTGGTGTTTCGCCCATGGGCGTCACCTGCGCCTGACGCCACAGTCGGACTCCTGTTCCGCTGTCGCTCTCCACGCATCCCGCACAGGTCTACGCGTTTGTGCTCCCACGGGCGTCAGTGGCTCTGCGCTGTAGGCCCACCTGCACCTGCCCCTTGGCCTGGCCCTGGAACTTCCCGCCACCCCAGGGGACTCACTGCCCTGGCCTCTCCCCTTGCTCCCACACCCCGCCCCACCCAGGCGGGACGACACCTCGCACCTCTGTCTCCACAGACTGCCTGGGCAGCCTCCTCCCTCTGATGGGGCAGCTGCCCCTCCCCCTCCTCCCTCCGATGCGGCAGCTGCCCCTCTCCTCCCCCTCCTCCCTCCGATGCGGCAGCTGCTCCTCTCCCTCCTCCCTCCGATGCGGCAGCTGCTCCTCTCCCTCCTCCCTCCGATGCGGCAGCGTCCAGCTCTTCCACCACCCACACCCACACGCTATGCCACCTACATCCTGTCGCGTAGCTTCAGGCCTCCCTGCCAACGCGCCGTGTCTCGATGTACTTCTGCGAACATGCCCGTTTCTAATTTTACTTAGATTTACTTTAAATGTTAACGGGGCATTCTTGCCATAAGTATAAAAACGGCACCCCTGCCGCACACGTAAAGCAGCCATAACCACGCAGGACACAAAACAAGTCTCGCTTGACCCGCCAGCCGGAGCTCTGCGTGCAGCATCCTCCCCCCGCAGCAGCCCTGCACGGGTCAGAGAGCCAATGAAAACCTACTCGGAGCCTTGCCCCTCGAGGCACGCAAGAAGTCTGAAGGAGCCCGAAATGCGAGTCCCCGGGGCGCTCTCCGGTATCTCGCAGACACGTGTAGGGTCTCGTCTGCGCACTGCCCCCCACCGACACTTGCACCACTGGTGGTCATGTCCCGACCTCTGTGAAAGTCTGACTGATGAGAACCATGCTCTGCCTTCGAGGCTTAGAACGCACGTCTCCTCCTTCATAAAGCCACTGCTCACCGGCACAGTCAAAAGGAAGTTCTCTGGCCCCTGAGCTCCAACGGCATCTTTACCATCCACTTGGAAGCTGGCCTCAAAAAAAAAAGTAGGGGCGACTGGGTGGCTTAGTAAGTTAAGTATCCACCTTCGGCTCAGGTCATGATTTCATGATTCACGGGTTTGAGCCCCATGTCAGGCTCTCTGCTGTCCGTACAGAGCCCGCTTCGGATCCTCTGTCCCTGCCTCTCTCTGCCCCTCCCTCACGTGCGTGCACACTCTCTCTCTCTCTAAAATACACACTTAAAAAAGAATAGGATCCTTCGTCTGACTTAGGATTCCTGCAGGACTGCACTCCCTTGAGCACAGACTGGGCCATCCCTTTCCTAGGAGCGCCTGTCACCTCATTTTCCACACAAGATGTCATAAGCACAGGTGAATAAATGACATGAATCAATTTCTGAACGCATTCTGTGAATTTCTTCTCTTTTGTAAAAGCTTAACGAGGCAGATTCCAAATTCTGGGATGGCTTTATTCATAGTCACCCTAAACTGGAAACAACTCCATGCTCCTCGGTGACTTCTTCACCAGCAACCAACTACCTTTGGCCCGCATGCAGTCGCCCAGGGTGTCCTCCACATCTGGCTTCTTTCACAGAGGGATCGTTTTGAAAGTGCAGGACACCTGGTCCAGTTCAAGCTGCTCTCTGGCTTCCTACCGCACCTCGAACAAGATCCACAAGCCCCAACGTGGGCGGCTGGGCGCGGTATGAAGTAACCCCTACCTGTAAGTTTCTCCTACTTCTCCTCTCCTGCACCACCACCCCCACCCCCGCTCGCCCCCAGCCTTCTGTTCTCACACTAGCCACATCCTGTCACTTCCCAGCTTTGGCTCCAACTCTGCTTGGCTGGCTCCTTTGTGCCCTTCAGGTCAGCTCAAGCCTCCAGGGGCGCCTCTGTCACCACTGCGCCAGCCTGTCTCCCTCTGGGACGTCACTCCGTTTCTTTCCTGGCATCTGTCACAGTCGCTACTGCCTTGAGCCTCCTTCCCTGTTGTCTGAGTGCCTCTCCAACTGGGATGTGGGGTCCGTGAAGGCAGGGACTGTGACGATCTCGCCCACTAGGCTCTCCCCCCATATAGTGCTCAGGACACAGGCTGGCCCCTGACAGGTGTTCAGTGAAAGCTGTTCAATGAAAGGATAATTCACAACAGGGAGAACCAGAACGAGGGGCTTGAAATCCCAGCTGAGTTAACATGGGTGAAAGTGCAATCGGGAGCTGTTGGCATCCACGATGTTAAACTAAATGGTAAGTTTTCCACAGGCGAACAGCACGCCAGAGACACAAATGTCTGGGGGCTGCCGCAGCAACACCGTGAAAGTGGGGCCATCGGTATTTGTCATGTGACCCGAACAGGTGAGCTCCTACATCATGTATTTGCTCTCTCGTGTGAGCACTTACTGAGGACACAGCACGTGCCCTGCAGAGAATAAGCTCTGGAGGGTGATGAGACGGACAAGCCTCGCCCCCGCTCCCAAACACTCACAGAGGAGCACAGGGGAATTTTAGGGCAGCAGAAATACTGTGTGTGATGCTACAATGGTAGGTACACATCGTCCCACGTCTGTCTACACCAATGGGATGTGCAAGTGAAACTTCACGTAAACTGGAGATTCTGGGAGATGGTGTGTGAAGGCAGGGTCGTCAGCTGTAACAAATGCACCCCCTGGCGGGGATGTTGACGGGGGGGGGGGGGGGGGGGGGGGGGGACAAAGTAACCGCCCAGTCCTGTGGGAAAACCACCATGGAAATACCAATTACATTCTGATGAGGAGAGCGAACTAACAAGGTGCCGGGGGAACAGGGAAGGAGGCTCAGCAGCAAAGGTTCACAGGGGGCATGACCTCCCCAGGCTGGTAGGTCATGGAAGACGGAACAAAGGCACAGCAGAGAGGTCAGGGAGCAGCCCAAGCTTGGCCTGAGCCGGACAGGCCTGCAGGGACTGGTCACCAAAGGCTGTCTGGGTCTGTTTCCAACAAAGACGAGCCATGGAAGGGCTTTGAGCAGAGAAACAACGAATCAGATCTATTTCAGAAAGAACTGAAGCATGCTGAAATGACACATGGAAGGAGGAACCCTAAACCGTGTGACTTCCTCAGCTACCAAGAAGGAACAAATGACATGTGTCAACAACTCACCGTGTGACAAACTTCTGCTTTTATCTCTTTCAAGGCTCGTTCAGAAAACACACAACCACAGCACCGCAGGAAGCAAAACCTGGAGAAGGAATCCAAAATGGAAGATGACTTAAGTAATAATTTTTAAATTACAGCCGGATTATCAGCTAACATTTGTTCAGTTTAGACAAAGGCCAAGGACTAAAACAGAAAAATGGTCACATTTGATTCCATTACAGGAAAAAAACTAGTACGTCCTATATACCTATTTATACGTAGAAAAAGAAACAGAAATAGAGAAAAATACAGGCCATGGTCCCAATCCTGCTGCCTTGCAAAAATCCTTTAGAATCAAGTCTCTCCTACAAATAAGATAAATACATTAAAAATAAAACCACAAACATAAAAAGTCAAAAGACAGAATAGGAACTCAAAGAGAGAATATTTTATATATATATATGAGATTGAGTATGAGTATTCAAAATGCTCTTAAAAAGCAAAAATAAACAGTGTGCTAGAAAAATGGGCAAAAGACATTCACATGTGATTCACAAAAGAACTATAATTGGCCAAAACATAAAAAATGTTTAACCTCAACTGTTACAGAAATTCACTGCAAAATGTCATATAATGTTTTACATATCCGACAGTGACAAAAGAGACTGAAGGTGTCCAGCAGGAAACTGAGGAAACAGGCATGTCTGTTGGGGGCGGGGGGTGGTGCAGCACGGTGCATCTTAGAAGGACAATTTGGCAGAGTCCCACACAAGAATCACCTTTCGGAATGTCTCCTATAAAACCTGCCCACGAGGGTACAGATGCGTAAATATGTATTTATGAAGTTGTGTAAGACAGCGCTGCTTGGAACAAGGAAAAAGAAAGCACCTAAATGTTTGTGAGCAGAGGAATGGGTACGTAAGTTAGGAACACTCACACAGCTATAACAAGAGTAAGGTAAATCTGTATGCAAGGCTATAAAAACACACTCAAATTAGAGAAGAAGGACAAAAAAGAGGTTACGATATGTATACTGTGTTGAACACGTTTACATTTCTATTGGCAGAGGCGTAGGGAAGTGCGGTGTATGTGCATTGGTGCTGGGCGGGTCTGCAGAGGGCATTAAACTCCAAACAACCAAGAATGCTGCCGCTGGAGGCGAGGACTGGGGGAAAGGGGCAAAAATCATCAGGTGTACATTTTACTTTACCTGTTCCTCTAAAAATGCCACAATAGAAGGTCTCTCCAATTCCCTAGGGATTATAGTGGATGCAGCTTGCCTCAACAAAAACCCAATTAACAACAACCATACTAAATTCACTTACTGTTGTTTACGACCAAAAAAAAAAATTCTATTTTATGGATGCTTACTAACTACTAGTAATTTAAATTTGTTTATTTTTCTTTAAACAAAGGCTCAATGTTTTCATTACACCAGTCACTTATTTCTATTTTTCTCTATATTTGAATCTTTATTATATAACATTTAATAAATGCACAAAGTAACCCCCAAATCAATTTTCTAGTGTGGAGGCCCTATTAATAGCAGGAGGGCAAAGCCAAAACACACAAATTCACTGGGAAGAGAAAAGAGAGATTAGCCAGGGGATGAAAGGGAAAAACTAGGAAAACCACAATTGAAGCAAAAGCTATAGGTAACCCCTGCTCAAGACCCCAGAGTTGAGTCTGTTTCTGCTAAGTTCCTCTTTCAGGGTGAACCATGGTTTTCTTTAAACAAAAAAAAGTGGGAAGCCAGACACAAAAGGTCAAACACTGAATGATTCTACGTATAGGCAGTATCCAGAAGAGGCAAATCCATGCAGACAGACAGCAGACTGGCGGTGGCCAGGGGCTGGGGAATGGGAGGGACTGCTCCACGGTCAGGGGGTTTTCCTTGGGGGTGAGGGAGACCGAGAAAGGAACTAGGCAGAGGTGCTGACCTTTATGTTATGACTTTCACTTCGAGATAATGTGTATGCACCCATGTGCAGAAACACACACAAAAGTAGGACAAGCTTAGGTAGGTGAGTCGGCTTCCCCAGAATATTGCCTGCTTGACCCTAACAGTGAACTTTAGCTTTTTAACTAATTAATTCTTCTTTCAGCTCTATTTAGGTATAATTGACAAACACAAATTATATACATTCAGGGTGCACAACTTGATGATTTGATACGTACACACACTGTGAAATGATCACCATCAAGCCAATTAACACACCCACCACCTCAGTTACCACTAAATGGTAAACTCTGAGGGGCTTAAAGGATTTAAATTCACACTGTCTGAAGAGTAGCATCTTTAAAAGCTCCCTGGGCCAAAAATTTTACTTCTCTCCAAATCCATAGAGCCACAGGTTATTCCAATTCGGAGCACGGTGCTTCCTCCCTCAGGCACAGTTTGCCCCGCACGGAGCACACACGTCTGTTAAGCAGAAGTGTACAAAGGTGCCAGAATGCTCCAGGTTCAATGTGGTTGTTTACAGACCAACAGAAGTTTTTACTTAGGTGAGCTACGTCTCCCCTCCGCCCCCAGCCTAACCCCATTTCCTGAATGAAAATGGTCAAAAATTACTACCTTCCACATGTAATGTGTTAGGCAGAAGATTCCAGATGACAACTGGGACAACCAGCTTTTAAAGATATTTCTAAATGGTGGGAAAAGAGGTTAAACCCTTGGCTCACAATGAGGCATCCTATAAAAAGGCACCTACTAAGCCATTCAACACTCATATTTTTTAAGGCAGAAGTACACAGGTCACTTACGTTCGCTACACAAATGTCAACCTTAAGATTTCTGGTGCTCTGGTCAGAGGATCTGTTCGCTCCAAATTTAAAGCAAGTTACCATTACCAGCTGGGTCTTTAGCTGACTGACTGACCACACATTCGGTAAAACGATTTTCCACTGCCTGTTTTTCGGCAGTTATGAGGAAATGGAAGTCGTCTGGTGGGCAACATTTGTCCTTTGCTTTCTCTCCCAGAGGAAAAGACCAAACAATGCACCTCCCGTGTCGCATGAGGAATTTTAAAACTCCCTCCCTACTTTCGGCTCTCCTCCCGTCGGGAACAGAAGGCACAGGCACCGAAGCTGAGCGCACTTGGACGCCATGTCACAAACGGCCGCCAGGGAGTTAACACGGCCTTGTGCCAGCTCTGTTGCCTCCGAGGCACCCCCAAACCAAAGGACGCTTTAAGCAGTCTGTGCGATCATAAAGCTACAGCGCAAACCCTAACAGTGCCCGTCCACCTGACCGGACTCTCCATCAGCTGCCCCACGTCCATTACTGACCTGTGCCGGCCATTCATCTCCAAGCCCACAACGGGGCAGATGAAACGTGCCCGCTGGAGGTCATCGTGTTTGTCACCCTTTGTGTTTCCTTTATCCCCTTCCCAGGCGGGATTATCAGAAAGCCTTAGTTCTGTCACATTCTGTGAAAAAACATCAATATTTTAAGAATTCATCTGATAAGTGGATCCTCCTTAGCCTCAACAACCGCCGAAGTCAGCAGAGAAATTGTTACTACAGTCCTTTCCCGTCCAAACCTCTTCTTCCTACTTTCCTTTGGCCGTCACTTATAATATGAAGAAAAACTGAAACCACAAATTGTGATAGAAAACGAGTTTTCCAATTCACTGACTGGCAAGTGAATTAGTTAATTTCTACTTTACAATTATTTTGACATTTAGGGGAAAGTAACTTTGGACATGAAAAACTATGTCACTAAGAGAAAGCTCTGTATCAGTTTCATCCAGAAAGGAACATTTTCCTTCTCTGCAGATGAATCCTCACTGAGGTGTTCCATATTACTGGCCACCCATGTTTATTTAATAACTGAACAGACAGTAAAATCTATGAGACCACGGTCTAATATCCAAAGCAGAATATTAGCCACAGAATACTATTAGATCCCAAGATCTGGCCATTCAGGTTTTCAAAAATTCACCTTCACAAGGAGTGATCTAATGGCTCCACTTGAGCATCTGACATTTAACCCACCATTTTGATTTCAGCACTCCGGACAGCAGCCGAGAGCCTTGAAAGGAAAGCCACTGTGCCTTGGGTTGGCTTCCTGGTTGATGCGGCCATGTGTCTCCTCAAGTTCTCTAAGTATGTGTGGACTAGTATATGACAGTAATGATAATCTGGCATATTTGCATCATTTTATCTGAATCCTTCTGCTTTTACAGTTCTGATTTCTTGGAATTTTTTTCTTTTTTGCATTAAAATTAAAAGTCCAGCCATGTACCTTGAATATTATTTTTTTTTTTATTTTTTTTTTCAACGTTTATTTATTTTTGGGACAGAGAGACAGAGCATGAACGAGAGGTGAGAGAGAGAGGGGAGACAGATCGAACAGGCTCCAGGTTTCAAGAGCTATCAGCCCAGGAGTCGACGCCACGCCTCGGAATCACAGACCGGCTAGATCGTGGATCGGCTGAAGCTTCAGACGCCGTCCCGATTGGCGCCGCACCCAGGCGCCCCCTGAATATTATTTTAAATATGGAACTATATAAATTAACTTCAATGATCATCATATTCAAATAAGATCACTACGCTACCATGGGTCTTTTAAGGAATGAATTCTCTTCCCAAGATAAAAGGTGACAGAAATCAACATGGTTATTTCTAAAGCATGACTTTAGCTACATCTCAGAATTACTAATTTGCCTGAAATTAACTTTTCTTGTATCCTGTAATCATTGCAAGAATTCAAACAAAAAACCTAATATCATAATAAAAATTTTTAAAAGAAAAAGAAAAGAAAAACCCGAAGCCTTATATGGGGAGTCAGGGATTCTGGTTCTGGGTTAAATGCGTCATTCATTGTGTGGCCTCAAAAAGTCATGGATAGTGAGAATTCCCACTTGTGGAATGAAGTGTTTGACAAGCTTGATGGTCCCCAAGTTCTCTGCCACTTTTCTGATTTTTCTCCCATCGACCAGATTTGAAAGATTTTGTCCTCTCAACCAACTTCCTTTACTAAAAATCTTGTTTTTCCATTTAAAAAAAACCTTTTTTTAATGTTTATTTATTTTTGAGACAGAGAGACAGAGCGCGAGTGGGGGAGGGGCAGAGAGAGAGGGAGACACATAATCTGAAATAGGCTCCAGGCTCTGAGCTGTCAGCACAGAGCCCGATGCAGGGCTCGAACCCATGAACCATGAGATCATGACCTGAGCTGAAGTCGGATGCTTAACCGGCTGAGCCACCCAGGTACCCCCTTGTTTTCCCATTTTTATGAAAGAACTTTAACTGCCAATCAGAATGCCTAAGTAGCAAGAAATACTACACTGATTTCATAGTGATCTACCTAGAAGTCTCTAGTTCTAGAAGAATTATAGAATTGAATAAAAAATTCAAGTAGCCAAGCTTTAAATACAAAAATGATGTCTCCAAACATTTATTCATCACATTAACAATTTTCAAAGTTCTTCTGTACGTATTACATCATAACAGATTTATAATGCAGGAAGGCCAGGTGTGGGAATTTCTGGCTTGAGCTTTAAGTGACCTACCCCAAATCACACTCTTATTAGATGGCTGGGTGGGAGTGGAATTCCAAATCTCAGCCTTCAGTCTATAATGTGCACGAATTCTACAAAATAAATCTTAACCACTGACACCCTTGGAGCACTTCAGAATCACCTGTCTTACCTTGATGCTTTTAATGTGAGATGTTGCCTTCCCAAGAGCCTTTTCGGAAGATTTGTCCAAAAGGAATTCAATGACGGCATCTTTGTTATAAAGTCTGCAACAATAAGGGTCAGTCCAAACACTGTGGCAACAATCAACCGCCACACAAAGGAGGAAGAACTAAACTGAGCTCAATCCAAGTCATCTACACTGGATAACAGACGTGGCTTGCGTCGCTAAAAAGGTAAATTAAATCCTGGTTCAACTATCTCCACAGCATACAAAGAAAGAAAGTAGTTTAAACCAAGGGTTGTAACCTGGCAATCTGAGGACTGATTGGGATCTGAACAGTATGGAAATTTAATATAAAGGTACACATTTTCAACTTTCCCTGAAAAAAAAAAATCAGAGGTTCTGGAAGCACTGGGCCCACTTTCTGGAACAGCAACAGCTGACTAGAAATGAGTAGCAGCTGCCCTTTCAGACAGGACACGGACTCTCCAGTTTTCTCCAGTCCCCACCACTCCCTACAGCCCCACAAGGCTCCTTCATGCATTTATGTTTATAACAGAGCTCCTCCTGGCCCCAGAATTTTCAGATCATGAATTAAATAAATCAAACTGAATAGGAAAATGCAGAAACATGGTCAGAGACAAGGAATGATAACCTAGGCTTCACACATTTGTTTGAGATGATTCACATTTCATGAATCAAGAACTGTACTTACACACTGAAATTCTTTTAAAAATTACTGAATAAAAACTCATCTCAATTAAGTAAAGGAACCATACCTGCCGAGTTCACAGGCAACTATGGGTCGCCTTAGTATTTCCTGACTTAAAGTACAATAGTTCCACTGGGCCACTAGTTCAGCATCTTTGTCAACCTAAGGGGGGAAAAAAAAAAATCCTTTCAATTAACTTTCACCTCCGAAAGACATATGGTCCGCAGTTCTACATATAAAGGCTAATTCAGTTTTACCCCACGTGATGATTTTTGTCTTTGAAATCAAAGATAGCAACACACGAGGCTGGGACTTAAAAAGTCAAAGTAATCAACACCATGTCAAATAAGTTCCCTCTAAATGTGATACCTAAAACAAAACATTCACATCAAATAATTAAATTGCCTATGCAAGCTGCATATAAATATTAGCATTTGCATCCTTTTGAGTTATTTATTTTTTGTAGTAATCTCTACAATCAATGTGGGGCTCGAACTCACAACCCCAAGATCAAGAGTCACACACTCTTTCAACTGAGCCAGCCAGGCAGCCCTGGCCAGTATTAGCCCAAATACTAATTTGTATCTTAACAGTAAGTTAGAGAAGCCATACAGAAAACAATAAGCAGTACTGCTTAATTTCTATCAATGGGAAAGGCTCCAAAGCTTTAGCAGAATATAAGGACTCAGGACTCAGAAAACAGGTTTGTTGTTTTTTAAAGTTCAGCACAAAGACTACAGAATTCTTTTAATGTAGTTAAAAAACTTTTTTTAATGTTTATTTTTGAGAGAGAGAGAGAGAGAGAGAGAGAGAGAGAGAGGTAGGGGTAGAGAGAGAGGGAGAGAGAGAATCCGAAGCAGGTCCCAGGCCCTGAGCTGTCAGCACAGAGCCCGATGTGGGGCTCGAACTCATAGACTGCAAGATCATGACCTGAGGTGAAGTTGGACACTTAACCAACTGAGCCACCCAGGTGCCCAAAGGCTACAGAATTCTTAATAAAAATCACCAATTTAACACTGTTCATTAGGGAGCATATCAAATCCTTACCCACATTATGAAAACCCAAACATAAGACCTTCCATTGCCCTCAAATGCTACTTCACCTACATAATATTCCACGTCCCACTCTTTTCCCCTCCTAAAATGCCAAACCTGAATAATATAATAGGATGGCATAAGTGGGACAAAATAGGAAAAGACAAAAATGAGGAAAAATTCCCTTCAATTTAATTTCTACAGTAACAACTGCTTACGTGTTTACTGTGTGCCAAGCGCTATGTTAAGCAGTTTCTGTGACTTAATCTTTTAGCCCTCATAAAAACCCTGTAGCTTAGTATTTTTACTTTGTTATTGAGGAATTGGGAGTACCAAGAGGTTAGGTTACATGTCCAAGGTCACTCAACAAGCAGATGAAGGAGCTAAGAACCCAAGCAGGCCGGCTCCAGAGACCATGCTTCTAATCGCTACTTTCTATTGCCTATTATTTCAAACAGAACAAAATAAAAACAAAACCCGCATTATGGCAACTGTTATTCTATCTATACCCCAGGTCCAAGAGCCACACCTTGACAGCTTAAACAGCTTTTATCAAAATTCACACTGTAGCTGAGCCCTGAGAAAACCTGCCACCAGTGAGGTCAATTTACTACATTGTCTGCAGATGCAAAAAAGCCATTCAAGTCCAGGATCTACTTTCTGGATCCCTTACCTTCTTTACCCATAGTCCTCAGCTGATTCAAAAAATATCGGGAGAGGTGGGGGCAGGGAGAAAAGCCATAAACTAATCTTTGCCCAAGGATCCAAAAATTGGTAACCCCCCAAAACTTCTGAAAACATTTTTTTCCAAGGTCTGTCTTCTTTTCAGGGCAAGGTCTTAAATTCCAGACCAAACACACCATATGAGTAATCAAAAATATTAAATTACTATATATCTGGGGCACCTGGGTGGCTCGGTGGGTTCGTAGGTTCAGGCCCCACATGGAGCTCTGTGCTGACAGCTCAGAGCCTGGAGCCTGCTTCGGATTCTGTGTCTCCCTCTCTCTCTGCCCTCCCCGCCCCCCAAAATAAATAAACATTAAAAAAAAATTTTTTTTTAATTACTATATATCTATCCGAAATGTAAGCAATGCAAAGGCTGGACTCTGTTCCCTGCTGTGTCCCCAGGGCCTAGAATGGTGCCCATGGCAAGCATTTAATAAAGTATTTGTTGAACAAATAAGAATACACAAATCTATCCTGCCTGAGCGCTCCGGCTGTCTCCGATCACCCTTTCTTCTTTTCTATCCCCTTCTGACACCCTGCCGAGCTTTTCATTAAGGTGCTCCTCTTCAGCCCTGGCCATTAACAAAACCAGCTGCATGCTTTTCTGGCAAAGCTCTTATGAGTGTTGACTATCCAGCATGAGCCTATGCACATGTAGGTGTGATCAGAGGGCGCCTCCAATCTCTTGAGCGCTCATTCATTCTTGCATCCAACACTTATTTACCAGGTGCTGACTGTGTGGCAGAGGTAAGACACACAAGGTCTCTGTTCACGTAAGAGAAGGACAGACAATAAACAAATAAAAACTGTGATTAAATACCATAGAGAAAAACAAAGCAGCAGAAGAGAATAGAGAGGGAATGTATTTTGCAACAGTGGACTGAAATGACATTTGAGGAAAGAACTGAACAAAGTAACAGAGATGAATGGTATCTCAGCGAACGATGTATCAGGTTGTGGACATTCTACTCCAGGCTGAAGAACAAAGGCCTGTGTCACTGAAACAGAACCAAAGACCTGGAGGGGGGTAGAAGATGAGGGGTGAGAGAGACAAGGCATCTGATCACACAAGACCTGGTGGGATTTTCTTCTGAATATGACAAAAAGCTGCCGGGCGGTTTTAAATACAGTGGTGATATATGAGATTTACCTTTCCAAAAGCTTTCTCCACCTGCTGAATGGAGAATACATGGAGCACCCACGTGTGCCGGGCACTAAACTGGGTGCTTTACGTGCCTTCTGTTATTAAAAAGTAATTACTAACACTTCGGGGCGCCTTCTGTTATTAAAAAGCAATTACTAATGCTTTGGGGCGCCTGGCTTAGTCGGTAGAGCATGTGACTCTCGATCTTGATGTCAAGGGGTTGGTGCCCCATGACGGGCGTAAATTATTAAAAAATAAATAAATAAAGCATTAAAAAAAATTGCTAATGCTACCTTTGAATTCCTGCATAAATGGTTGGAAATCCCGGCTTCATTAGCTATCAGTTGTGTGATCTTGGTCATGTTACTGACTCAATTTTCCTGTTAGTAGCATGGAAATTATATACAATGTTCTCAGTTACCTATGGGAATTAACAACTACCCGCTCATTCATTGGGTACTCACCATATTTACTGTGCCAGGAACTGTGCTAGTTGTAGAGGGGGAAAAGGCAAAGCCTCTGCCACAGGGAGCTTACCTTTCTCTGTGACGGACCTTAATCAACCACGAAGGCAGTGCACAGAGTGGTAACATAGTTTTTTAGGAGCAGGGCCTGCTCCCGTGTGGATAAGGGAACCTTTGGGAAGAATTCCCGGAGAAAAGGAAGTTGGTGTGTACAAAACTCAATCAACAGCAGCCACCCGTATCCTTGTTACTAACTAACGGCAGACGGGCTTTAAATCCTGGCCCTGGCACTTAACTAGCGGGGTAACTTTGTCCTCTCGGCCCTCAATTTCTAAGTCCGAAGAGCGAGGATAATGACAGTAAGAACTGTACGAGCTACCCCATATAAAGCGTACCCCCAGGTGGACGGCAAAAGCAAGCACTCAATAAAGGTCTGATATTAATACTGTCGGTAATTCTGAGTTCTCCAAATGAGCACGGCAGCGTCAGGAGCCCCGCTGGCTCACACCACCCCCACCTCCCCCTCGCTCCCTGGGGACCCCACACCCCCGGCCCCCACCGGGCCCACGTCGCTGACCTTCTCAACCTTCTTCGGCCCCTTCACCAGTTCGTGTCTCTTGGGGATGGTTCCTCCGTCGCAACCCATCGCAAACCGGGAGTCAGAATCCCCAGCAGCGACCACTTCCGGGAGTTCCCGGCGACCGCCGCAGTCACTTCCGGCGCGCCTGGATGACGCAATACGCCCGACGCGACGCAGTGGGGGCGGATCCGTTGCCAAGCCCCGGTTGCCATGGAGAGCGTCGCTAGGCGGTGGGCGAGGCCCCGCGGCCAGGCCTGCCGGAGCGCGCGCGAAGCCTTGCGCGCCGAGGGGCTGGCGGGGCGTCCCTCCCTCCTCCCGGTGGGCGCTGAATTTCTGCCGCCCTGTGGCGGTCGCTCGCCGCGGTTCGGGAGCGGGCGTGACTCAGGAGCACCCCCGGTTCTCGGGCCCCGACCCACCCCAGCACGTCTGACTGTGGGTCTGGCACATCCCCGGAATGGGAGCGCCTGGAGGGAAAGGGGTGCATTTTATTAATGCAATTAATGATGCATGTGAATGACATCTGTTGTGTCAGAGAACCATCACGTGTGCAAAGGAGAACTTGTAACTGAGCACCACCGTGACTTTAACACTCTCAACAAATCCCGTGAAGTGGTGTTCTAGTAGGTTCTGGGGGAGTAAGATTCTCTAGGCCTGCAACTTTCATACTGCCGTGTGGACCGGCTATAGATGAAATGTTGCAGAGTTGGTCCAGGAATGTATCTGATCCACAGCCCCCTTTATTTATTTATTAAAAAGCAGGTGTAGTGAACAGAGGCAGCTTTATCAAGGCTACACTGGTGTTTACTTGCCTTTTCCAAGAGATAGGTTGTGTTAGGTCCATAATGAGAGGCCAAATCCCTTGCAAAACCCCGGCTAAAATCCATGACTGTCTGCTTTCAGGCTCTTGGCTCTCTTTCCAGTTTTTCCTTTAATTATGGTAAATATTAGGGGAAAGTCTCACCACAGCGAGTAAGGTGGACCTATACGATTGGATGTTACCTTGCTGACCACAGTGAGACATAAACAAACAAACAAACAACCTTGAAAATATTCCCCAGCTGGGAACAGAAAACGTGGATATGAAAACTTCAAGGACTGTAACATTGGATTCTCTGTGACTGCAATTGATGGGAATTTAAAGAAAATAAACCTTCTAATCCGTTGGTCTCTCATTGCCTTATGATTTATTTTTATGCCGATCACAGGAATTGTAAACTGTGAGCGTGGGGACTTTGTTTTAGTCCCCATCGTAGCCTCGGTGCCTGGAAGAACCTTTGGCTCGCTCAGTATGTATTTCCACAATAAGCCCAAAGGAAGTACAGACACGTTCAGCGAGGGTGATAAGTCCAGTTTGGGCAGGCCCTAAAACTGCTACGTACTAGGGGAATCCACTTACAAGTACAGAAATAGAGGCCTGGAAAGATCAAAGGACTCGCCCAAGGTCCCACAGCTGGTAGGAGGGAGAGCTGGGACTGGGTTCCAAGATTACTTTTCTCCCCCAAAGGACGGAAAATCAGGGACGGAATAGCATAAACCCAAAGATCTTTAGACAGACTCTCAAACCAGTGCTCTTTTCTGGCAACAAAGCCTGCCCCTCCCCTAGTTCATTTGGAGAAGTGAAAATAGAAATACCTGCTCTGCATTTAACCTTGGCGGTGGACCGGGAGATCGGGAGGCACGGTTTCCTCTGTCTTTGTAACTTAGGAGGCAGGGGGTACAACGCCTTCCATTTTCCGAATGACAGACCTGAGACTGAGCTGTGCAAGGTGTCTTGGCTCAGGGGCACACGGCAGGTGAGTAACAGGAGTTCAAGATGAGAGGCCTTCTCAAGTGAGGCCCATGGAACTACAAATGCCATGTTCCTTAACCTCTCCCCCAAAGCTACCGTGACACCCAGCAAAGCAGTGACCACTGGGTGGGCCGTTGAAACTCAGGCAGCTGGATTCTTTTTTCTCTTCCTCCTTGGTTTCCTCATTTAGAGTATTGGCTATTAGGCTATGCTGTGCTACCGAAAATACACAGCTTAAGCTTTTATATAGTTAATATCGGCGGTAGCAACTCATTTGTGTTGAGAGCTGGCTAAGTATCAGGTACCTCACTCGGTGTCCTTCACGTGCTTTGTGCCATTTTGCTTGAGCCACATTAGACACGCTGGAGTCATCAGCTGCTGTTACGTTCCACTGCCTTTGCTGAACGAACTGACACAGGATATTCCCTTGTGAGGATCTTTGACGACAGCTTTGCCCCAGCCAGGCTGTGGATGTGAAGGGCGGGAGATGGATGACACCAACAGAAAGAAAACCATGAGCCCCTAGCAAAACCAGTATTTCTTAATCCCAAAAGGGTGTTGGGACCCACTGGAGAATTTGAGAAAAAGTTTGGACTCACTCACCGTGGAAGAATATCCGGTCGTACATAGAAAATATTGCTGCAGGTAATACGAATATGTATCTCATTCACCAGCTCCTGAGGCCTCGGCCAAGATCAAGTAGTTTAAATGTTCCTACTGCCTGTTGCAATTGTTTCAAATGTTTTAGTCTTCTGAACCCTTGAGGGTTTGATTTCCTGTGAGCTCTCCCCCTGCGCTGTAGTTTGAAATTCTGTCTGGGGGCACCTGGGTGGCTTAGTCTGAATGTCTGACTCTCGATTTCGGCTCAGGTCGTGATCCCGGGGTTGTGGGAGCGAGCCCCGCGTCAGGTTTTGTGCTGGGCATGGAACCTGCTTAAGATTCTCTCCCTCTCTCTCCCTCTCCCTCTCTCTCTCTCTCTCTCTCTCTCTCTCTCTCAATAAAAAAAATACAAATACAAATAAATAAAATTCTGTCTGGACAAGGCTGACAGGCAAAGTGACTCATTTTGAGAGCTGGCATGAAAAACCAACAAATATGTGTTACGGTTCTTTAAGACTTTTACAGCCACATCA